ATATGAAAGTTGCATATTTATAATTGAAATAATTGTTTTACTTATATTAATGCTATATATTACAATTATTTCTTGATATAAAAATAACTGACATTAAAATAAAAATTGTATTTTTTATATATTTTATCTATATAAAATATGTTATTGCTAATTCTGACACGTGTGGCAATCAATCCCGAAGCTATAATTGTCACAGGTTTGTTTAAAATTAAATGTTTATTTAATTTTAAATATAATTTATTTGTACGATTATATATTTTAATATTTTTTTTAATATCTAAGGGATGTAGGGATGTGTATATTATAATATATGTATATAGTGTTTTAAAAATTTACAGTTACTTTTTCCTAAAAATCATTATTCAAAAACTATGACAAGTCTCCATATTTTTTTAACTTTCATATAGTATTAAAATTTATAGAATGAATATAATAGAATCAATAATAGAATCAAATCTCTAGGTGCTTCATGTAGGTGGTCAAGTAGACATTTTACGAGAAAAATTATTGGTCATTTTACCAAAGGAAAAGAAAACATCTGTCTCCATGATTATGATAGGTTCCTTAATTCGAAAACATCAAAATATCATCGTTTTCACTGAAAAGATTGAGAATCTATACTCATACATTGCGCTAGCCCAATTCATATCAAATACTCTCGTTATATGCTGCTTGGGTTTTATCATCGTAAACGTAAGTAATTTTAATGGCTCTTTTGCAACACAGATTAATAATCACATCTAATTTATATTGAATATTTATGAAAATCAATTTTTATCGTTTATAAGATGTTATTATAAAATGTTATATATATGTAAGTATATATATATATATATTTATTATATGTATATATATATATATATACATATATTATGATAATATGTGTAATAAATTATAATTTTAATATTTTTATAACGCAATTATTTCTTAAAAATAATTATTAATATTAGTAATTACTATTATTCTGCGGTAGAAAAAATCCGAATGAAAAATCGTGCACATATTTTCAATATTACAGTCAATCAGTGCCAATGAAGGCTCCTCTATGTTAGTGAGATCTCTTTTATTTTACATTGTCATTAATTTAGAAGCGTTTATCTTTTGTTTTGCTGGCGAATACTTAAGTATCAAGGTGAGCAGCTATTGACTTCACTATGACAATCTTATTTCTCTTATTTTCCACGTTCCGAATTTTCGCTTCGGTTTGACTTTCTACAGAGCAAGATGATCGGCGACGCGGCGTACGAGTCTTTATGGTATGATTTAACTCCCAGCGAAAATCGAATCCTTCTATTCTTGATAATGAGGTCACAAAAACAAATGACTATCACCGTTGGCAAGTTCATGAATCTTTCTTTGCAACAATTTGCAAATGTAAGTTTTACATTGCTTGGATTATTGTTGAAACTAAGCATCTTATTAGTAATATTATTACATTCGCTAAATGTAAATTATGGATTTTATAATATATACAATTATAATATTTATTTTTTATACACGTAGCAATTTTGTTTATCGTAGATCATTAAATCGTCAGCATCATATGTCTCTGTGCTACACGCGTTATAATTACTAATATTGAATTACTTGATATCGCTGAAAATTAAAATAATGAAAAATTATTCTATTTTTAATAAAAGTCAATGATCAGCTGATGTCTCTTTGGTTAGCGTCCTTCTATTGCAATAATATTTATGCAAAACGTTGTTAAACGTTCACAGTTTATGCCACCAGCTCACTAAAAATATGCCTTTATTTCTGAAGGCAGGGGAAAGAAAATATTTTTTGTAAAACGCGTATGTCATGGGCTTTCATCCCCTAAAAGAACTTTGAAACGTCATTCTACGCTAAATTGCAGAAGTTACCCCGACGCCGACGCAGCGGGAACTCTGCTTCGTCCTCGTTATATTCGCATGTATTGTATTTCGTTCTGGCGATACCGCACGATCGTGCCAGATGGCCACAACGAATAGATCGCAATGGCAATGAAATTATACTGAGATTACTTAGCGCTATTTCGCGCGTACAATTAGGACGCTTTCACATGGCAATGGAAATCAGCCCCTGGAGGAACAATTTTATTAGAGACCGTGTCTGTGTAGAAGTGTTGCTATAATCCTATCGCCCCTCGCGGTCGTTCAATTTACAAACTTCGAGTTTACACCCGGTACGAGAGAAGAGAATTTATGCCTCGTGTCGTCTGGTAAAAATATACATCTTATACGTTAACCGAGTCAAGGTAATGTATGAGGGAATTGCGGAATCCTATTCTTCGTACACAATTTCCTGTCCGTTAGAGAATTCCGACATGATATTATCTCACAAAAGTGACCTTAATGAAATTTCATTTTCAATTAGATTTTAAATTGAATTTTTTGAAAATGTAAAATGATCATTTATTACGAATGTACGTTTCTAATTTTATTCTGTAATCACCTGTTTTAATTGCTTATATTAAATATTTTGAAGAGAAAAATTTCGTATTTTTACATTAAATATTTTTTAAATATCAATTATTTATAATTATATTTGAATCTGATACTGTACAGAACGTTTATTCAAAAAATTATTCTACAGACTTATTTTACATACACAGAGAATATAATTTTCGAAACAGAAGCTTTTATTCCCTGTGGCGGTTTTACATCGCCACAGAGAATAGTAGTAGTCATATCCCTGTAGGATATGAACTTTCTAGATTGTCTAAGAATTATATTCTGATAATGTAAATCATGAATTATCGCTTCAAATTTTATGTAATGATGCGGCGATGTCGCCACATCTTACTAAGTATAAAATTATCGGGGTCGTAAATTTCTCTTCGAGTTTCTCATCACGCTAAAAATTCTTTTTGCATTTTTTAATTCATTGATTTTGCATAGTTTCAACTTACTTACGATTTTCTTGAATTTATTAATATGGAATACTATATAAAATGTGCCAAGCAAAAAGACTCTTAATATTTCTAAATAATTTTTTTAACCAGAAAAACGTGCATTTAATTCATCCGTGTACATACAATGAATACGCGGCTTTTGAAAAAATAATACTAGACTAGACGCCTTCGTATTATTATTTTTTATCAGATTGACGCATCGAATTTTTTTAGAAATTATACAAAAAGTAAATCTGTTATTTAAGTTATCTTTTTAGAGATACGACATGCCTATCAAAATAAACTTTACTGTAATATAAATGTTTCATAAATTATTATAAAAGTTATGTATTTAATTTATTATGTATTTTTTTCTTATTATAGTATTTTATTATAGTTTCATCGAATATATGCGAGATGTGGGTCAAAAATAAAAAATAGGAGATGGACTTT